CATATTAGAAAGATGTATATGAGAACAGATAATGTATGAAAATATACTCTTTAACATTTTAAACATCAAACATTTTAAAAGTACGTAGCTCAAAGATTACACTTCCAATCATTCATGGGATTTTGATATTTTGTCAAATACTGTGCAGCTGTTTGGGCAACTTTGAAAACAAAAACTACACACGCAAAGTTGGACTCCTTCCAAAATTTTTCGCAACATAAAAAAGTGCTTCTCTTTATCGATTCATCATGCTTCGACTGAATGAACAAGAGAGAAATCACATCATTGAAATACTTCAGTTAGGCACTCTGCTTTCTTTTGTCGTGAGAATGTTAAACGTGAACAGGCACATTGTGTGTGCCACATAGGATCGCAGGACAACGATAGGCTCCCAAAAAGACATACCTAATCGAGTAGGAGGCAGAAACACAAAAAGGAGGGAAGACGTATTCATCCTAACGCAAGTGTGGAGAAATCAATTTCAACCGACAAACAGAGACCCATGATGAGTCGAAAACACTTAGAAATGAAAGCCCGATCTTTGTCATGGCTGTTTTTCTTTGCTTGAAAGAGGGGAATCTTCATGCTGGGGGCCTAGTTTATCGTATAAAACTGCAGCCCCATCACATCCAGCACAGGTTTTACTGGGCACAGCGTCGCGTGTGATGGCCACGTCGTATTTGGAATACGTAAATGTTTTCAGAAGAATCCCAATTTCGACTGGAACAGCACGATGTACGGGCCAGAGCCTACAGACGACCCAACAAAAGTTTACACCCCAGCTTGCTTCAGACAAGAAAACAATGGAGGTTGTGTCATGGTGTGGGCTGAAATCAGTGATGGTGGCGAGACGACATAATTATTGTGCCTGTCCGTGGGAGCATAACAGCTCAAGGCAAAATCAACCAAGTTCTCGAGCTAAATGTTCTTTTAAAAATCAAGCCCAAGAACGAGTATTCAAGCATGGTAATGCACGCCTCATAAGGCTGCTGTGACAAATCAGTTTCTCGAAACTAACCAAATTCCCCTCGAGCTTTCATGACCAGCGCATTCTTTAAATTTCATGTAGACCAGGCCTTAATTCAAAAGTGGAATATTATCCCTCAATAGACAACTTAATTCATCCCGTCCATAAGTCGACGATGTGAAAATGTGAACAACGCCAGATGTCATAGCACTTTATTGAAAGCTTTCACTTTTCATTTAGACACCTGACAACTACAAGTTCAAAATTAAAGATTAAAAACATTCTTGGGTTTACATTCCACGAGCTTCCCTTTTAATAAAATATGCATTGTATTATCTGAAATTTTCAGAAAGACTTGATAAGTATTAACCAAGATATTGCCTTTAATATGAGGTGTGACATTAAAAAGTTAAAAATGTTAAAGAGTATATCGAAGAATATGACTCAAACTGATTTAGGAATAAGTAAATAATAAAAAATCATTATTAAATAAACCCCGACAACACATGGATGATGTAACATGACACGACATAGGTTGTACATCACTTTTAACATAATTTAGCGTTCATATATAATAGGATTTAGCTAGGTAGGTGCGAAGTTCTTAAAACTCTATTAGATATAATTAAAGATAAATACAAGTTCAAGAACACTCCATCAGGAATTCGAACTGGAATCACCCGCACAATACCCCAACATTATGACAAATAAACATGCTGATGGCGCTCCCTAACATAGAAGGAATACTCCACTGAAGCTGCAAGAATCTTGATAACTAGAGAAAAATCCTAGACAAGCTGATGGCTGAGAATGTATAATAATTTGCCTCAAGACTAAACTCGAAGTTTTCTCTTTCTTGCAATATTGACTTCAAACTTTAAGATTAGCTAAATCTTGCATTATTTTTAATGTTTTACTAGATCTATATCTTGCAACACTGACTCGCTCCTAGACTGAGTTTGCTTTACGTTTTGCTCCATTTTGCAATATTGCCCTGCTCATAGACTAAGCTTGAAGTTTTGCTCTATCACAGGATACTTCAAGATCGCCAAAGGCACCGACGAATGTGGTATCGAGGACAGCGTCGTAACCGGCCTGCCTAAACTGTGAATAACGCCCAAGTTCTTCAACCAACACTACTGCATTCTTCACTTTTATATTAATATAGCGACGGTATTTTACAGTAATATTAAAACTGTTTAATAAAGCTATGAAAAACATCGAGGTTCTACCAAAAATCTAGTTCTTATATTATCGTGATTGTGTTTTACAGTAAAAGTGGAATAGTTTAATATACAAATAAGCCAACTGTACTTTGATACTTGTATGTTTACTCTGTGTTTATATGAATAACGTCGAAATCTACCACCAACGTTATCGTATTCTTAATCCTTATCATAGCTACAGTGCTTTACAATGCTACTGAAACCGTTTAAGAAGCTGTGAATAAAAATGAGGCTCTACCACAAACCTAGTTTTTATGTTACAGCGATGGTGTTTTATAATATAAAACAACAACTGTACATTGATAGTTAGTTGTATGTCCAGTCTGTCTGTTTTTTGTGTTGTTTCTCAAGATATGCCGGTCTCCTCTGTTTTCCAACAACTGTTTGCGAACTTGTCAAACTGTGGGATCTCTACAAAAAGTCTGAATGTAATGCAGCGTGGTGAAATCCGGCGCTCTTCAAAATAATAAAATCAGAGAAATCGGCCCTTTTCCGACGGTTTTACAGTTTTATTTTCAAATTGTTGTTTTTTGGTTCAATACCTTTTACATCGATTAAAAAACACATATCGTTGACGATTTCAGTGAAAATAAAGTTGATAAAAGTCTCAAAATCTAAATTATTTGTTTCTGAAGTCTCTCAAGTTATGTAACACACCAGGCTTTGACGGCAATTTTCTTTTTCTTTTTACCTCTGGAATCAGGCGATCACCACCTTCTTCAGTTGCAAATATATCGACTTCTATTCAAGACAGATGGGAAATTTTTTTTTATCACGAGCAAGACAAATGAACATGCTTTATAATGGTATCAATAACTCCATATATCCAAACATTGACGAGTGCCTGATTCCGCCACTTCGTAACACAAATTAAGAGAGTTCTTGGAGGGTTTTGTTTTCTACATCTTACATCCTTACATGGAGTCAAGCGTCCCTGATTATAACACATACTCTGTCAGCCAGTTGCTCTCTTGTATTGGACGCAATTTTAGAAATGTCAATTCTCCATCTGTGCAATCTGTTGCATATGTGAGTTAGACTTTTTTTTTTGAAATTCAAAATCTACCACTTGTAAAAAAAGCCATCTCCTGACTCTTTCTGCTGCCTTTCTTCTGCTATTCATTGGCTCTTTACAGTTGTCTTTCAGCCACATCCCTGATCTTACGGACAGGTAAGATCTAACACCTAGTCTTCTCGGATAAAGGCAAACAAATCTTGGGGGGGGGGGGGGGTGTCATGTGCACGTTGCGCATGCTAAACATCCGTAGGCGGTCCTGAAATCGATAAGAGTAGGCTTCGGCCGCCACCCTAAAAAAATTCAAAATTAATTCCTATCAAAAGGAAAATGCTTAATGAGTCCTGCGGACTCATGTTATGACCTTATGCAGTTGCTAGCGCTGTACAGCACTTACACAAACAAAGAAAAGAGAAGAAGCTGAATGTAGAATAGGGTTTCATCTATGTGTGCTTGATATGGGGCTGGACGTTGATGTTCATGCTGAGTTGATATGCCTTTACTAATGTGGGATGTGTACGATCTCACACATGCAAAGTCGGTATTTAGCCAATTTGGAACCACATCCGTGACACTTTTAATGGAAATTCCCCAAAAGAGGCGTATTAACCCTATCCGTAAGCCCTGGGTCATTTTGTACCCCCCAATTTCTATTCTTCACATTTTCGAATACTTCTAGCCTAGACAGAGTTTGAAACTTTCAGTATTTCTAAAAAAAAATAATTTTGACAGGCTGCTATGCAAAGCGTACGGATAGGATTAACGAGTAAATTTCCTCTTCGAAAGTGGTGGCATAGAGTTCCTCACGTCGTACAAATACAATAGTAAAACATGAAGCATGGATAGGGTTAAGCACCCCAATACTGGCTCCACATTGAGACCGTGACTTGCCATGCTTATTAGGTTGCTCGTTCCCATTACTCATGCTGGTGATTAGAACATCTGTCATATTATGCAGAACAATTGCAGGACGGCAGCATTTTGGGCAACTACGTGTAGTCAAATGCATGTCAAAAGCTTCATCATCTCCTTCACGAACTGCGTGCGTTACATTGTAAGTATACTTTTATGAGTCAACGGTCGCAAGATTTGTGACGCTACTAGATTTCAACTGGAGTTACAATTAAGACTAAGGTAAAGTACAAGTGATCTATGAATGGGTCCCATTTTCTTTCAGTAAAAGTCGTGAGTTGATGCTGTTCACGTAACCAGTGGTGTATTGATAACTATTTCATGACCATTCAATTCCATCATGTCACAACAAAGGGATGTAACTCTTCAAAGTGCACGAGTTAAATTGTCAAATATCGCAGCGGAAGTGTATGATTGCGGCAATCGCATCGCCCGATACCAGCCAAGCGAAGACGTTGTGAAACTTCAGGAAGAAATACGCCAGCTGGAAATTCGTTTAGACGACATACTTTTTTCTGGATATCCTCGCTCTGGAAACCATTGGTTTTTCGAGGTCGTAAACATGGCGCTCCACCAAAATACGCGCTTTGAGCACGGCAACTTATTCCATCATCTTCTGGACGCAATGCAACTGAAAAATATACGTGATATTGTCCCAACTCTGCCTTCACCTCGCGTCCTGGCCTCACACCGCTGGTTTCAGTTCCTGCCCAAACAAGCCTTTGAGAAGAAACCTCGTCTTGTTTACGTGCTGCGGAACCCCAAGGATGTTTGGGTTTCCTTTTTCAAGCTGATGACTTCTTACAAGTCAGATGAATACAATTTTTTTGGCAGCTGGGAGGAGTATTTCGAATTGCAGGTACATCATTTTTCTCCTCCAACCCACCACTATCTCCCCACATCTCCCCATTCTTTTTCTCTCTCTTGATCTCCTTTTTTTCAGGCCGCACTCAACAACACAATCCGAAACATATATTGAGATCACACAAGTGTGAGCCAAGGGCTAAATGCACAGTATCCTCCTCGACATTGATAGAAAGGAATGGGGAAACCATGGTGGCAATGTACCATTAACAACTTTTCAGATGTCATAAGCCCAACATTTAGATACGTAATCTTTCATTGAAGTTTCTTAATTTATGGAATTAGGTGCGTGTGCTCAAGAACGTTTTAGCGATATTCAAATTCTAAATGTTTGAAAAAAGCACGAAAAGATACACAATTAAGGGATATTATTTGACAAAACATAGTGAGCGAGTTTTTGAATTAATAAGGTAGGGTGTAGAACAAGAGAGAACAACGCAACAAAGTACACTAAATGTGTTCCCGAAAGAAGAAACAGCATTTCAAATTAATAAACAGCGGACACTGTAACAGTCGAAAACTGCCCTTGCTCTACTGGCAAATGAAGGTATTTTTTGTTACTTTTGACTTCCAAAGAGCAGGGTGAATAATTATTGGAGAGAAAATCGTTTCTTTAAACCTCTGAACCTTTTTTTAAACCGGCAACCTTCCACAGATAAATGAAGACTGCCAAGAGTGTCAACCTTTAACTTAAATCATTACTACTTTCCACAGATGAACGGAGAGTTCCTTTGGGGCTCCTGGTTTGAGCATGTGTTAGCCTTTGAGGAATTCATATCTGAGCGCCCAGAATTTTCGGTATGCGTCATCCAATTCGAGGAACTCAAAGAACGTCCAGCAGAAGTGATACAAGAGTTATGCCGCTTTCTCAAAGTACCGGAGGACAAGGCAGAGGAAATAGCAGACGCCACACGGTTCGAGAACATGAAAAAGAATGTGATGAAAGGCGGTGTAGGGGATTTTACGAGGGAGCTTTTGAAAGACGAAGAACACGGGTTTATTCGCAAGGGCAATACTGGGGACTGGAAAGGTCATTTCACCGTAGAGCAGAATGAGAGGTTTGATGAGCTGTTTAAGGCCAAGATGGCAGGATCTAAACTTGGGCAGAAGGTTGAGAAATACATCAAATGAGATATCCAGCCCCATCTTTCAGTTTGTTAACTGTATTCAGATACTTTAAATGCTAAACAAGCAAAAAACAAAAAACAAAAACAGGAACAAAATAACTGTATTGGTAGTTGGTTTAAAAATAAATAAAGTGTCTTTTTCTTTTGTTTTCTGAATTGTGTTGACTAGTGTAGTCACTTTGCCCTCGCAGGCAGAAAATATGAATTCTAGTCCCGAGTACTAAGGTTTTTTTTGTTGTGAATATCTCCATCTGTCAGCTGGGATGGTGCATCGTTTTGAGGGTGGGTTGGTCTTTACAAGGCAGGATCGAAATATTTCACTTTTTAAATTGCCTAAATTGTGTCTGTAGCGGTGTACACCTTCTATAAATACACATTTTATTATTGCTCTTATTATTATAATTATAATAACAATAATAAGAATTATTATTATTAATATTCTTATTCTTATTCTTATTCTTATTACTATCATTACTATTATTACTATTATTACTATTATAATTATAATTATAATAATTATTATTATTATTATTATTATTATTATTATTATCATTTTTGTTATTATTATCATTATTATTAGTAATGTTTTTGTTTCTATTATTATTATAATTATTATCATTCTTATTTTTATTCTTGTTCTTACTATTGTTATTATTATTATTATTATTATTATTATTATTATTATTGTTTTCATAATAATTGTTATTATTATTATTATCAATGTTATCGTCATCATTATAATTAATATTATTATCACATTATAATTATTTTTATCAATAATATTATTACCATTGTTATTATTATTATTATTGTTACTATTATTATTATTATTATTATTATTATTATTATTATTATTATTATTATTATTATTATTAGTATTACCATTTGTATGATTATTATTTTGATGCAGTGGGTTAATTTTGTATATATATACTGGTGCAACTGCCTCTGCAAAAGTACTTTGTCGACCAACTGTTCAGATGTCTTAAGCCCAACGTGTTTTTATGGTTGAAACATGTGTCGAAACGAAGTCCCTATGCAGACACGGAATCTCTTCTGTAAACGATTTTGAATCAACACCAAAGACCGTAAGAAAATACCAAATAAAGTAACAATACCTAAAGCGGGTGCCTAACTTCAAGTCGCATGGCTTTGTTGAAAATAATACCAAGAGATAAGTAAACTAGGGTCATACACTGTGGGAGACCGATGCAAGTGCGCACTCATGAGAATGCGCAGTGGAGATGGAGTCAATGAAATAAGAACCTACAAAGTCAGTTTGTCGTTATAGTATTGAATTACCTATTGTTAGAGAATCTGTTCGGCGCATATTGAAGTACGATCTGAAGGTTAAACTGTACAAGATCCAGGTACATAAAAGGCTGAGCAAATGGAAAATATCATAGAGACAATGTAGCCAAACGCTTCAGAGCGTGTATCGTCCAAAACGTATACGTCACATGGAGCATGCTCTAACTCCCTTCAAATTAAAATTTTTATTTGCAAATTTATCACAATAAATCCAGATGGTGACCAAGTACGTCTGTGAAATTTTGTAGTTATATCTCTATTCTAACCGTTTTTATGAGTGTCTTCGTGGGTAAAGGTTTTTTTTTGATCACTTGGTATATATATATATATATAATATATATATCTATCTATCTATCTGTGTGTGTGTGTGTGTGTGTGTGTGTGTGTGTGTGTGTTTGTGTGTGTGTGTGTGCATATGTGTGTATGTGTGTGTAATAGTTAGGCCCCCTTCGACACAGTTATGGCTGATTAAAATTCGTGGTTCTGACCTTGCCTGTCAAGTTAAACTCGGGCTGAGAGGGATATATCCCAGCAGAAAGAAAGGAATAATCGATAACAAGATTCTTACTCCTCGAGAATAGATTTTGGGTTTCCTGCGTGGGACACTCTTGCTATTCTCTTTCAACTTTCGCAATGATGATGATGATGATGATGATGATGATGATGATGATGATGATGATGATGATGATGATGATGATTTGTTTTGTTTGTTTCCTTAATGAGCGTGGTGGACTCGAGCGAGAGCGAGCTTTTTTTTCCTATACTGTCATTATACTCAGAGGCACCTCCACTCGTCCAAATAAATCCATTCGAACAGCCATTGTTCCTAGACGTTCAAACATTTTGACATCCTCTTTTCATGGCTAAAACTTCGGCAAAGTGGGTTGAGCTCTTCATTCACAAAGTTTTGACACCATCTCATGATGATGGTGATAATGTTGATGATGATGATGCCTGGGTGTGTTTTGGCCCTGCCTTTCCGTTACTTTCATTACCTCCACGCACCTGTTTCCCCCTTCTCTCTCTCTCTCTCTCTCTTTCTCTCTCTCTCTCTCTCTCTCTCTCTCTCTCTCTCTCTCTCTCACTTCTTGCCTTAGTGTTCCCCCTTCTCTAGCCTTTCCAATTTGTGTTCACCGCACATTTTAGCGTTGTGACATGAATGTATGCACTTTGGTTTCTACAGCTAGTGTAGCCTGTGTATTCTGAATGTTCCTGATGAAGCCCGTTGAGGGCGAAACATTGAACTTGTCGTTAAATATTTTGGAAATACTACCAAATCTTAACCGTTTTTACTCTCTGCTGTATACAATGATGATGATGACGATGATGATGATGATGATGATGATGATGATGATGATGATGATGACGGTGATGATGAGATATGAATACTATTAACAAATATGTTGTACCGATTAGACACAATAACATTCGATTGTTTTTCAATGTCTATATAATTTGTTTTTGATATACAGAAACTGTGAAAAGTCAATGATATTAGGCTGTTTTCATTGAAAAGAGTAATAATAATAATAATAATAATAATAATAATAATAATAATAATAATAATAATAATAATAATGAAGATCGTTTCTATAGCGCCCACTCCCGTGTAAACACAGCTCTAGGCACCGAGTACCCAATCAGCCAGATGATATTTAACTACCAATGAAGTATTTTACAAAACCTGATGACCACAGATGTACACCTAGGTACTCTGCTGAGGATTTTGTGTTTGATGTGACGTATGGTGTGGTTAGACTATTTATATAACTGTGTTGGCGATGTTTCAGATGCACGTGAGAACTCAGACTTACAATAAGTACAGCATAGACAGAAGTTCCCTTCCAGTCTAACCCTGGTTTTACCCAGACCCTGGAGGGTGTAATAGTTTAAAACCAGCCCCTCTCCTTAATGGCAAACTTGTCGGTCAATAAGGTCACTGAAGACAGTCAACACATTGAAAATGAAGGAGACCAAAGTCTACCTGCAACAGTGTTGAACATACCTGACTAAGGAGTGATAAACATAAATGAAGCCCAAAACAATAGTAAAATTGACCTACTTATTCAAAGAAATAGAATCTCAGGATACCGCATCACTAGAGCCGCAAATAAGGGGAGCAGGTGAGGAAAATGAGGGTTGAGCTCATCGTCTCGAATACAAAGTGTATAAATTACTATAAATGATAATGGTAACGACCCATAGCAAAAGCTTTTCGAAAAGGTCACCTCATTATTCAAGGAAGAACTATCCCCCCCCCCAAAAAAAAATACTTACACGAGGGTCTACACCTGGCTTCTTCATCTAAAACAACACGAACCGCTCCAGTGTGTACTGTTTCAGGATGGAAAGACAACGGAGCCTTGTGTGAAATGTACATTTTTAAGGACATATTTATCTCGTAATACAACATTGGGTTCAGCAACCCCCGAAGTGACACCTGTTTAAAATGTGACAAGCTGGAGCAGCAAATAAAAGGCTCTGATGGCGAAGACTCAAAGTTAAGGCTAGAGGCAGGAAGAAGTTACACCACGCCAAAGCGAAAAGTACTTAGACGTACTTAGAAAAGCAAACTAAAGCAGCTACATCAGACCCAAAGCTTGATGCCTACACATTTGAGTTCCAGTAAAATTTACCTTGCATGAATCCCTCAACCGACGATCTTTTATATAAGCGTTTGCTATAGACTTATAATTTCCGGGTTGATGACTTGAAAAATGATGATGCCATAATGAACATGAGTGAGGCTGAAGCTGGTAGAGGGTTAGCTGAAGTCTGCTCATGCCTTCTTAAAGTTCTAGAACAGAGAGCACAGAATACAAGTCACCTAATTTTGTGTAGTGACAGATGTCCTGGACTGAATAAGAATAAAGGAATGATAGCTTCCCTCTGATCAGTCGTGGAAAAGAACCTGTTTAAAGGATCGATCACATTTTCTTATGCAGAGGTCCCATTTTCTTGCCCAAAGAGAGGGACTTTGGGCTAATAGAAAAAGGGGGGAAAAGTGGAGCAAGCCACGCTTCCCACTGATTACGTTAAAATATTCCAAGAAATTAGAAAATGACACACATCCATTATGAATTCCATTCAGGGACAGGACGTTTTGGACTTTATAAAGTGTGCCAAAGAGAGCCTTCCTAAGTCTGCATTCAAAGGCATCTATGGTAGCAAAACTGTATTTCAGCTATGTCCACATGTTCTCTTTTGGACAAAACGAAGAGCCAGACAGTACACAATCTACGTTAACACCTAAACAGCACCCAACAGAAGTTTGGTGCCGGTATACCTTCAACGAGGTTCCCACAGCAGAGATGAAATACAACAAACCTCTGTTGATAAAGGAGGCAAAGCTGAAGATTTTTCGGAACTCTGCAGCAAGTGGATCATTCCCTTTAATGTCAGACCCTTATATAAAAGTCTCCAGTCTGTTGTCAACGAAGACAATGTTGATGACTATGTGGAATAGATTGCTTGCTGACTTGGGCTTAACCCTAGTGTTGAATGTCCTTGAGTGTTTTCCCCCTTTTCAGTTTAGTAAAATATTAGGTCTAAAAGAAGGCGAGTCCAACTGCATTGACTTGAATGCAAGAAAATAAACATTTGAGTTTTTTGCCCTTTATCCTAGAGACAGCAAAAAATATTGTAACCTTTATGCTGATAAAAGTTTCTTTTCCCAGGGTGTCGTAGCTATCTAAATCATGTTGGCTTCTTTTTCAGCATTCTCGAAACACTGTAAATGCGACTGAGCCTTGGTATAGAACTAGGCAATTCTATTATAATACAATTTTATCATCAGAACACGATACACAAAACTACTACATCTTACATCCAAGCCATCACTGGTCGCCTCATTTCACAGCACTATTTTTGAACCTAGGTCATTAAATGTGACTCAAGGAGCTTAGCCAAATTAGGCAGAATGACAGTTTCTTGATACCAAACTTGTCGTTACCCGCTCTTCTATTTTTATTGCAAACAGTATAGTATACGCCCCGCACATATTAACAACATGTCTGACAAAGAAAGACAGGAAAGAGTTTGTCGGTTTTGACAGTGTTTTAGCGATTGTAATCCCAGCTCGCATTGTTTGCTTCTCGGGTAGCCAGTCGTCATCTGAGGTACAGTGTTTATCTTTCATTCAATATGTTCAGGGATCGAAACCTGACAGTGACGCTATGTTTTCTTTTCTAAATTTTTTCTTTCACCTCCTTTTCAGCTCTTTAATCATGCTCTGTCATCTGCCGTTGTCACCTCCCCTTTCTCTCCCCCCCCCTTTTCTCCCCTCCTCTGGGTTCCTGACTCTTTCTACGACTTTTCCTGGCTCCTTCTTGCTGCTGTCTTTTAAGCCACACCCTTAGGGAAGGTAAGATCGAAAACCTAGCCTTCTCGGATAACGAGGTCCCTTGTGCAAGTTACGTTCGTTAAAGATACCTGGGTGGTCGTAATTATATCGATAAGAGCAAACTTCGGCCGCCATCCAAACAAAATTCAAAATTAATTCCGACTTAACTGAAAATGCTTAATGTCTCGCGTGCTCTCATATTATGACCTTAAGCAGTTGCAAGCGACGTAAAACAGTTACAAATATGCACCCATCTAACCCCCCCCCTAAAAAAAAACAACTAAAGAAAACCCCCAAACCCAAGCAACTTCTATAACGACAGAAATAAGGTTAAGTGCAATCACTCTATGACTGACTGAATGAGATACTTTATACCAGTTAAAAAGGTTATCAAAACGCACTAGATTGAACTGATTAGAAAAAAAAAATACAGAGTGTGGTGAGGTGAGTGTGACTAGCACATGATCTCCTTCCACTGATATATAACACGTAGCAAAGATAATACTTAACCTACATTACAGAAAAAAGGCAGCTGACTGTCAGTGTGAAATACATTTGAATCCTTAAAAAATTCCGTGGGCCCCAGTTAGACTGATCATTTTGTTATCCCAAGTTCAGCTGATCACACGTAAGTTCACGTTTCCTTTTTGTAGAAAGAAACGTTTCTAAAAATATTATTCATTGAGAATAAAGAGTTGCTGCTTTCTTTCAAAATACGCTTATAGAAATTAATGGTCTTTTCGTCGTTCTGTCGGTTGTTTGTTTCACTTTGGTGTTAGAATGTTGCTGTTCAGAGTTGAAAAAAGTGTCTTATTGTGTTGAAACGTCATTTTTCTTCTCTAGTAGTGATATACGTGTCATTTTAAATGCGACTAGCCTGACCACAGCCGTACTTCATACTAAACTAAACTAAACTAGTAGCGGTGTCTTGTTCTCTCTATCTTCATGTCTCCTTTGTCTTAGCCAATCCATGTATCAGCCCTGCACACTCCCCCCCTCTCTCTCTCTCTCTCTCTCTCTCTCTCTCTCCCCCTCTCTCTCTCTCTCTCTCATTGTCTTCTTCACACAACCAATGCCACAAATATGAACATAATAAAACACATATTATTTTAATGCCCGTGGTGTCTGAGTTGTCGCTGGACGCAATTTCGCTTCCGGTCCTCCAGTACTGCGTGTTGCTTTTTGTGTGCATTAATATATTGAAATACTGGTGGTGAATTTGCTGATAACTCTTTAGGAAGAGGCAATCCTGTAATTCTCTGGTCGTCTAGGCATGGTTTTTCAGGCTTTTTACATGCTCCGACGACCACAGAAGTGCCTCGGGATCGGTTGCGACCGACGATAGCGATAACTTGTAAGCACACAAGTTAGGCTGCTTTGACTATGAAAGGTAATTTTTACGAAGATTATTGGCCACATTCCTTTCACTGTTTTGAAAATATGATAGCATAGACGTAGGGTAACAAACACACTGACAATGTCATCACTTAGAAGCGGCCCCCATGTGATTTTTCAGCCTACTTTAATTAAATGCTAGAGATAAAGATGACGAACTATTTCCAAATTTTTGGTCACTCTATGAGAGGAGTTGGGAATGAGGGTTGTGTCCTGCCCCCCAGGAGAGCCTGACGGGGATCTAGAGTAAGCACCAAACAAACTTAACACTAAGACTAATACGCACGTCATCTTCTACATCAGAACATCATCATCGCCCCCCCAAAAAAATCATCCTCATGTTCACCATCACAATTACCATTACCGTCACCATCGCCAACATCATCATCATCATTACCATCATCATTACCGATTCAACAATTCCCCTTTCATATAACAATTTGCACCATTACTTTCTTTTTACGTAACCAGCAAAGCCGGGCCCCAAAATCAGGGCAGGGAAAAAAAGCCCACATATTAACAACCTTACAAACAAAGTTCTAACCGCTTTACATAATTCATAGATAATACTATGCATCATGTGTGCCCCTAACCTCATATTCCAAGTTAATTCTTCGAAGGTAACGTGTCTTCCCTCGAGCTAAAAACAGTATTCAAAACTCTTTTCTTAAAAAAACAAAACAACAACAACCGAACTCTCCCCATATCACACGAAAATAAATTAATTTAAATGCTAATGCTAGTTTCTCTCCTATTTTCAAACAATTCACTAGTTACATCCCTTGTCCCACAAACAATTTACCAGGTACTTCCCTTCATTCAAAACAATTCATCAGTTATTTCCCCTTTCGTCCACAGACAATGCATCAACTGTTCCCCTTGTGCCTGCTGGTAGCGGCGGCTGTTGCCTCCCCTGCCACCTACCAAATGTTGGAAACCAGTCATGACAAAATAATCCGCTACATTAACAATGTTGCCAACACTACCTGGAAGGTGAAGTACTCAGATACTCTAAGGTCTTATAAATTGTTCTTTGCCGTTCTGATTGAGAGATGATGACTATATAAATTATAGTGGGGTCAAAAATTCATATCGCAACTTATTCTCAAATACTTCCTCAACTATCGAACATAAAGTCTCCAGATTCGGCCCAATGACTTGTATCAATTTGTCTTAACAGATCACAATTTTGAATTCTACAAAATTATTTTATGAATAACGATACTACTAAAAATCCCAGTGGGTGGTTTCTGCCCATCTTAAACTTAAAAGGTTTACAGCTAGAACGTCTTAATAAAAAAAAAAGTCCGTCATTTTTTGTTCTGATCACGGTGTTATGCTTATTGAACGCATGTTTTTTTAAAAGAACTTTTAGTGCAAAAAAGTGCTCACTGTAGAAATAATTTTTTGTAAAATGTTTTGCCACGAAAAGTGTGATCTGTGAGCTGTGGCGGAGGCCATATGCGTATACAAAAAGTGTGTTAGAAGCGGGAAGTGCTGTAAACAATTAATTCCATTCTCTGCGTGACGGAGAATTATATTTTATATAAATCTATGAAGATTTTTTTAGCAAGCTTAGTTATTGTGAAAAATATGTTTAAGTTAAGACAATTTGATAAAAACTGCTATGCAAAATATTGGTGACAGGATAAGTTGCGCCTCGAATTTTAACCGCACTATAAAGCTGTATATTATATGATACAACTTTTCCTGAGTGCTGTAGACAAAGAGGAAGCTCATGTAAATTGCCGGATAAATACTACTTCCCTCCCTTCACATCCTAACGGTGAACCGTGGTCAATACTTTTAGATTCAAAGAATAGTTTCTATTTTGCACGGAT